GCATTAAAAACACTGACCAGTTCATTAAAAACCTCCAAAACCTAAAGGTAAATAAAAATATGAGAATGTTAAGCCTGGATATCAAAAACATGTACCCCTCAATCCAAAAAAAGTTTATAATAAATACTTTAAATAGCCTAAACTGTGATAAATGGATAACCCAACTCGTTGAATTTGTTTTAGACAACAATTACTTTATTTGTAATAATAGTTTCTTTAGGCAAACTGATGGCATCTTTATGGGCTCTTGCATCGGCCCCAAACTTGCTGAACTTTGCATGATCAACATAGACAATATCATCCATAAACTACAAGGTGTAATATTCTACAACCGTTATGTCGACGATTGCTTTGTTATTTATAACAAACAATTAACCAACCCTCATATCATACTTCATCAGGCCAACAATATCCAAAAAAACATCCTTTTCGAATTTGAAAATGAAAACAACAACAATCTCAATTTTTTAGACATCACCATACACAGACATAACAAGCACATTACTTTTAAAAAATATATAAAACCATGTAATGTCAATAAAGTAATAAATTTCCACTCCAGCACACCCATGTACATTAAAAAGAACATATTCATGATGTATATCAACAAAATCAAAACTCGTACTAGTAATATTACTAACCAAAACACCGAAATTGACCAAATTTACCGCATTTTTCAATTAAATAACTACCCCAACAGAATCATCTACCAATGGCTACACAACCCCCCTTCTCGTCAACCCAAACCAAAAACACAGGTAACTTACAAAAAGTTAGTTTATATCCCTACTATTTTTGAAAACATCCAAAAGATCTTAACACCATATAACATTATTTTAGCTCCCACACTAAACAATAAAATCAAAAATTCCTTAAAAATCAATGAACAAAGTAATAGTAACACAGACATTTTACTTAATAACAATCTAGTCTACAGCTTTGCCTGTACTTGTCATCCTAAATTCTATTACATAGGTGAAACCAGTAGAGTACTAAAAACCCGGATAAATGAACATATTAGAGCCATAAAATATAATTACATCAACTCTGCAGTTGCTACTCATTGCAACCAAACTGGCTGTGAAATCTCACCCGACAGCATCAAAATACTTAAAAGGGAAAAAAACATTTTTAAAAGGAAATTCTACGAACATATCGAAATTATTAAAACTAAAGAAACACACAGAATGAACTTAAATACTGGTACTGTCATAAATGACATCTGGCAGCCTTTCCTAAGATGCAAAGCCCATTAAAGTTGTCCTACCATCCTCCCACCTTAACCCCCACTGTGCAATTCCCACCAACCTCTGTATATGTTACAAGGATCCCTCACTTCTTTGTAACATCTTCCATCAGACCTGTCCTCTACACATCTCTTCTGTATTTGTCACATCCTACAGGTATTCCGTTAATTTTTCATAATTTACACCTTTTTAATATACACTTTTTTAGTTTTGTGCATACCACTTTTTATTTTAACACACATTATACTATCCTCAGGTGCATGTATATTGATCTGATAGCACTATTTGCTCATTCCTCCTCCCGTGTTTAAATATGTGTATATATATCTTATGTGTAATACCAGCTTAATGGTCACTATCTCAGGTAATTGTATTTTATCATATAAATCACTGTACGCGTATACTAATTTTTTAAATGAATTCTGTAAATTTTGATACCTGTAACCAATTTGATAATTATGTAATAATAATAGGACTGAAGAGGGGCATTAAGCCCGAAATGCATATCCGTCCAAGTCAATAAAGCAACCCTTTTTCCTCTTAAAGTGTTCCTGTATGATACGTTCTCAACAGCAACATTGTGCTAACCAAACACATATAATAGAGAACAACAAGCAACCTTGATTCAATTTAATTTCTGTTTATGATTGTAGAATGTTCAGTTTATAGTTGTAGAATGTTTTATTTTTAGTGCAAACTAGAAATAATGTGTTTCTTTTTAAAGAAAACATAGGTATTATTTACCAATTACATCACTACAGCACTAATATTTTAATATTGAAGCTATATTATGTTTATAGGATTATAATAGATAATTCAATATGACATTTTTTTAAACTTTCAGTTGAGGAGGAAGAGCGAATGCAGGAATACGATATTCAGCAAAATTCAGAAAAAGAAAAACATTTTAAACATAATATTAAAACAAAGAAATACGTTCTTTCCAGTGAAAATTGCAATGAAATTCATGAGAAAATTAAAAGAAAATACTTCAAGTTTATGTTTGCATCTCATTCTAAACAGGAATTTACGTGTGATTTATGTAAACAGACTTTTAAAAATAAGAGAATATTACAGACACATCTGTTTTGTCATATTGGAAAAAAACCATTTCGCTGCACAACCTGCAATAAGAAGTTTTTGTGGCGTTTTCTTTTGCAAAGACACATGAAAAAACATAAAACTGGAAATCAAAAAAAAATCTCTCATCGGAATTTATGTATGCAGCCATTTGAAGATCGAGTGAAGCCATCTTCAACAAAGGGTAGAAAAGCTAATATCAAGCAGAAAAATGATATTTGTAATAAGCGCGTTCAATATGGTAAGGGCCGTTTAGAAATACACAAGAGAACACACAGAACTCATGCCTGCAAAACATGTGGTAAAGAATTTAAGTGGAAATGCATTTTTCTACGTCATGAAGCAACGCATAGTGAAGACCGTCCTTACAAATGCGATATTTGCAATAAGAGTTTTAAATTCAAAGAGTATTTAAAAATGCATCAGGAAACTCATACTGATGAACGTAACTATGTTTGTCAGGTATGTAACAAACGTTTTAAAACCAAAGGTAATTTGATAGGTCATAAAATAGTTCATAATGATAAATTTAACGATACTTGTCATATATGTAACAAAAGTTTTAAACGAAGTAATGATTTAAAAGTACATATTTATATACACAGCGACGAATACAAATATTCTTGTGACATATGTAACAAACATTTTAAAACAAAACAGTATTTGCCAAAGCATAAACTTATTCATTGTAAAAAATCTAATATCAAGGGGGAAAATGTGTGTTGCGAGATTTGTGGTAAGCGCGTTCTAAATGGTGAGGGCCGTTTAGAAAAACACAAGAGAATTCACATAGTACATGCCTGCAAAATATGTGGTAAAGAATTTAAGTGGAAAGCTATGTTGTTGCAGCATGAAGTAACGCATAGTGAAGACCGACCTTTCAAATGCGATATCTGCAATAAGAGGTATAAACGGAAAGAGCAGTTAAAAAGGCATCACGAAACTCATACTGATGAATGTAACTATGTTTGTCAGGTATGTAACAAACGTTTTATAACCAAAGGTACTTTGATAGCTCATAAAATAGTTCATAATAATTAATTTAACCATACTTGTAAAATATGTATTAAAAATTTTAAACGATGTGAAGATTTAAAATGGCATATTAATATACACAACGATGAATACAAATATTCTTGTGACATATGTAACAAACGTTTTAAAACAAAAGAGTATTTGGCACTTCATAAAATTGTTCATAATAATCAATTTGATTATACTTGTCAGGTATGTAATAGAGGTTTTAAACGCAGTTATGATTTAAAACAACATATTTTCATATACAGCAATGAATGCAAATATTCTTGTCATATGTGTAACAAAAATTTTAAGACAAAACACTTATTGGAACAGCATAAAAATATTCATAGCGATAGAAAAAAGTATGTTTGTGACATATGTAAAAAAGATTACACCAATACAACTGCCTTAACCAGACATTGTCTCACTAAACATGAGAATATGTATATGTTACAGTCAAAACCCGTTTTTAGTTAGAACGCGTTTTAACTAGTTGAAACTAGTTTATACTGAATGTCTTTGTTAAAACCCGTTTTGTCTAGTTAAAACTAGTTTATACTAAATGTCTTTGTTAAAACTAGTTTTAACTCAAATTCATTTTTGACTACAGTAAATTCTAGTTTTAACTAGACAAAACGGTTTTTGTCTAGTTAATTTACTGCTGTACTGTACATGTTTTGATTTTAGATAAAACTAGTTTTAACTTTTAACATTAGTTAAAACTAATTTTAGCTACATAAATATGTTTGGGGGAAATAAAGTTATGTATAGTGATT